GTTTCTCATTCACACCATCTTGCTAGGACTTTATATAAAAAAGATTATAAAATATCTCATTAATTACATTGATTTTATGTTGATGCGATACTATTTGAAGTTGATTTGGTTAAATAAAATATATTACTAAAATTAATTACACTCATTTTTTAGTTTTTAAAATGTGAGTACAGTGGAACCTTGGTTCTCAACTTAATTTGTTCCAGAAGACTTTTTTATTTAATTTTTTAAATTCTCACCTGAAGATATTTTTCCCATTGATTTTCAGACAAAGTGGAGGGAAGGAAAGTGGGTGGTGGGGGTGTGGGGGAAGAAACATTGATGTGAGAAAGACATATCACTTGATTGCCTCCTGCACATACTGGGGCCTGGAACTGAACCCACAACCAAGGTATGTGTCTTTGAGAATCGAACCCATGACCCTTTGGTCTAAGAGCCAATGTTCTGACCACTGAGCAATTGGCCAGGGCCAGAAGGCTCTTTGAGAAGTGATTCATTCCAAAACCAAATCATTTTTTCCCCTTCGATTCACAGCACAATTTCCTGAGATATTCACAATGCAAGGCTAGCGGTAAACTGACTCATATTTGCTCATTCTCTTTTGTCGCTTGTCAGATCAAGAACCGAAGTTTTGTTCAACAACCATGACATTTTCTGTGAACAACTTGGTTAAGAACTTAATTATTCGAGATGGGAGATATTCAAGAACTGAGGTTTGACTGTATTAAAAAATTTAAAATTACAAGTGTGGTTCTCCTTATACTGGACCTCTTGCCACTTTTGCTGAGGGCTCTATGAGCTGGCACAGTCCTCCCTTGGTGTGTGAATGACTTGCCAATCCTGGTGGTGGCTCTTTTGCCATTTTCTTATGGGATGTTTTTGATTTCTCTCAGTGTCCTGGTATGTGACCTCTGAGTCACTGCGCTGTGACCTCTGGTATCTGTGTGACAGTCATGTCAGGGTTACACCAGGAGATGCATCCTGAGAGCTTAGGAAACATACAGGTCACCCAGCACCCTCAGCCTAGTTTGTGAAGCAGAGTGACTTTGAGAATTAACAGAGAAAGGACAGTTAGGGCACACCTCCAGGCCCCATAACTCAGCCACATCTCAAGGCCTCGTAACTGAGCCTTATTTAGGATGACTAGGGAATGAGGAAACAGAAAACAAATCTGTGTACACACTCTAAAGCCAATTTAATTTTCTGTGGGAGTGGTTGTTGGGATGGAAGGAAGTAGAAGAAGGTACCACCAGAGTTGCTCACAGTGCTTGTTTGACAGGCCCTGTCTGGATGTGGACTTGGGTGGACTTTTCTCTAAGTTCTGTATCCTGATCTGCACTGAAGGGAACCATGGTTGCCTGCTGAGAGCCCGTTTCCACCCACAGCACAGCACAGCACAGCACAAGGGTGGCTGTTTACAGTCCGGGGCCTAAAGAACAGTTCAGCTGGAAATGAACTTGACCACACTTTGATATGATTTACAACGACAGAGGGTGCAGAGGGCTGTAGGGGTCTGTGCAGTCTGATCAGTCAGCTCAGGAGAAAGACCTCGGGGTGTCAAACCAGCTGCACATGTGCGGCAAAGGCCAATCATCCAGGGAACATTTTGTGCAAGTATCTGGTAGAGCAGTCTTCTTATCACACTAACAATGGATGTAAGTTAGGAGAGAATAGTTGACCAGAGAAAACGTCATGAAAGGACCTGCATGACATGGTGGTGAGCTCTGATTTTTTTAGTGCGCTGTTTGGGCCTCAGCCCTGTGAGATCATTCGTATGAGAGATGGAAAAGACCTCCTGTATTAGGTCATCCAGCCCAGCCCCTCCAGAGCCGGCTGACCCTTTGGTATACTTTCCAGAGCACCGTCCAGTTTTTCAAGTGATTCAACTGATGGAGTTTCCACCAGCTCTAAGAGGGTGCAGAAAGGTAGTGCCTGGGCTGAATGGCCCAGTTATGATCTGCTGGTGTCTCAGGATGAAGATTCAGTAATGATGCTGTGTTTGGAGAGAGATATGGGGTAGTCCTACCTCTGCCACCAACCTGTATGTGACTGCATGGATGACCTCAGCTCTGCTCGTCCCTGTCCCTTCCACAAATGGGCTGGCACTGGGCACCTGCAGGCTAAGCATACTGAGGCTTGGCTGAAGTACCACACATAGCACCTCACAGTTTTCACATTGTAACCTCATTGGAGCCTCATCATTCCTGGCTGATCTTATTATCCTTCTGGCCATCATCCTGCCTTGACTCTGTTTCTTTTTTTTTTTTTAATATATATTTTATTGATTACTTACAGAGAGGAAGGGAGAGAGATAGAGAGTCAGAAACATCGATGAGAGAGAAACATCGATCAGCTGCCTCCTGCACATCTCCCACTGGGGATGTGCCCGCAACCCAGGTACATGCCCTTGGCCGGAATCGAACCCGGGACCCTTCAGTCCAT